TTTTTTTTTTTTGCTTAAACCTCTTTAAAAACTTTTAACAGTTATTCAACTAATCTATTAGAATCCTTCCAATGTCTAGAATGTTAATCCTCTTTGACAGTTAGTTATATGAATAAATAATTATAGATAGAAAAAAAAATAAGGCAAAAAGAGGAGGAAAAAAAGAGAACAAATAATTATGTTATATATCAGAAGAAAAAAAAAAAAAAACAGAGATTTTTTTTTTTTGAAGCTAAAAAAAGTCATCAAATCAGTAGGTGTTTCAATAAAGTAATTTTTTAACAAAAAAAAAAAGTATAATTTAGTTATTTCCGTTTTTTGTTTCTTTGTTTTGTATCTGTTTTAGACGAGAACGTTTTTGCGGGTCAAAGGATAGTTCGGGTAATCGTGGCACCGATATTGAGATGAAAGAAACGGCTCCAATTTTGCCAAAAAAATTGGATGATTCAACACCCAAAATTGAGGTATTCACCTATCTATCTGTTTTGTTCAATTTTTCTTATTTAAAAATTTCACTATATATTCAAATAAAACAATAATATTGAAGTTTTTTTTTTTTATTGCAGATCAACTATGCGCTTGACGATGACGCTTATTTAAGACTGAACGTCGGTGGCCGTACCTTTATTCTTCGAAAAAGTACCATTGCTCGTAGACAAACCGGTAACGTTCTGACACTTTTTTTTTTTGTCTATTTTTATATAGACATATTGCTATAGCAAAAACAGTAAAAAATTTGTGAAAAAATAGAAATAATTGAAACGTTGTAGAAGAGGATAAATCATATAAACTACACTAAAAAAATTGTTTGCTTTTTAGGTTTATTAAATATACTCCTTCAAAGTTCACATGATGAACGACTGAAAATTGTTGATGGTTATTTTAACGAAACAAATGAATATTTTTTTGAACGATCACCAAACCATTTTCCTATGATATATCAGTATTATCTGAATGGTTTGTCTGTTGTTTATTGGAGTTTGTAAGAAGAGTTAGGAAGAGGAGGGAGGAGGGGAAGAAGAGGAAAAAAGGAAAGTGAAAAATTCTACAAAGTTACTGCTAATTGAGTGATTCTTTTTCGTTGTTGTTGTTGTTGCTTTTTTTAACAGCATACTTTGCATACTGACTGACAAGGAAAAAACCAATTTGTAAATTTTGTTGTAATAAAACCAAAAAAGGCGAAATAGCGAAAAAAAGAAGCACTGAACAAAAATAACTGTAATTCAGGAATTGTACATCAAAATGCCGATGTTTGCCCAGAAGATTTATTAGAAGAATTAAATTTTTGGCAACTACCATTGGACGATATTAGCGACAGTTGTATCTGTACAATGGATCCAATTGAAGATGAAGAAATTGAACCAATTACTGATGGCAAAAATTATCTGAGCAACAACAACGATAAAACTTTCTTTCAAAAATTAAAACGAAAAATTTGGCGTCTTGTCGAAGATCCCAATAGGTATTCTTCAAAATTGTCTGCTTTTTTTTTTTGTTTCTTCTCTTCTATAATTTTATCGCATATTTAATGAAGAACAATTTGAAAAGTGAAAAAACAGTTAGTTTAAAGATTAATCAAATTTTCTGTTATATTCTGTATACAGTAAACCGCTGAAACTGTAATTGATAAGCCATCAATAAAACTTAGAAAAAACTTGAAAAAAAATCCAGATTATTTACCAAAAAATAAAAGTTTAAAATTCAAAAATTAAACATAGACAATTTTTTTGTTTCAAACTATTAAGAAAACGTATAAAATTGATATCACATCCAAAAATAGATATAAATTGCGGAAAAGGAAGCTTTTTTTTCCTCCATTGTTATTGTTTAAGTTAAGGAAGAAAAAAAAGTACTTCAAACTGTCATTGTAAAATTGTGTGTATAAATTTCCCTCACACATATGAAAGAAATTTTTTTTTAATAGAAATAAATAATGCTAATTTGTATGATTAATAGTTGAGTAAAAAAAAATAAAAAACTACTGAAAAAAAGCAGTTCAAAACTACCGATAAGATAAGTTGACTGTTGAAAAAGCTATTAAATTTTACTGAATAATATTTCATTCTTTTTTCCCTCTCACATTTATTCGCTATAAATTTCTGAAAAAAAAACTTTAAGAAATTATGCTTGATAGTTTTTTTTCCCAAAATTTATTTTTATATAGCTATAATAAACAGGGCAAATTACTGGAAAAATTTCTGAGGTACTAAAATTGATAAAATTCTGTATGTTTTGTTCTGTTCGGCCGTCAGTTTACGTCTATTGAAGACGTTTTTTGGCGGCACCTATTGGTTTTTTGGCAAATCGCCAAATTAAAAGTTTTTTGTTACTTGTAAAAGCAGTTCAAAAACTTGTTTATTTCTTTTTCTTAAGAATGATAAGGCATTTTCAAGAACATGAATAAACAAAGTTTATTTCATTTTTTACTCTGGTGAAACGCTGTTAGAAACTACCAAAAAAAAAAAAAATTTACCTCGTAGAAACAAAAGTAAAATTCTAAGACTATGATAAAATTCATACGGCACAATTTGATGTTGTCGTTCAGCTCTAAGTATGGTTTAAAACAACTTTACCTGACCTCACATACTTTTCAGTCAACACTTTTTGCTACAGTAAAATATTATTGCTAATTATTTGTACAGTAATTGAACTAGATGAATTCTAGCGTTCAAACTTAAGGATTACTAACAGACACAACTGATGGTAAAAAAGTAGAATCAATTATTGATGATAAAAGCTAGTCAACATTGATATAAGAAGGAAAAAATTTTTCTTTTTTTGTTTTTGTTTTTATAGCTCAAGATATGCTCAACTGTTTGCTGCCGTATCGGTTTTATTTGTATTAATCTCAATATCTGGTCTTGTTATGGGTTCAATACCGGAACTACAGGTCCCGTCACAGCGTAAAAATTTTACGGGTTTTGGTAAGTTTATATCAAAAACAAAACAATTAAAAAATTTTTCAGTTTTATTACTTTCTTTTTTAATATTTATAAAGCTTTTTTTTGTATTTTTTGTTACTGATTCTTTTTTATCTGCTTTCGCTTATTATACAGTCTATAAAGATTGCAAAAGTTAAGAAAAGCTTTAATTTTACTGAACTTAATTGACATATAACCATAGACGAGTATTGTTTCAACAGGTATTACGACACCTGTTAATTAGTATGGTAATTAAATCTCAAGCAGTTGCTTAGGTGAAGAGATTTACACTGCCTAAGTTTTTTTTTTTGGATAAATTTGCTAATTTTGATCAGTAATTAAAAAAACCAATATAAATTGTTTTAAAGATATTTGTACAAAAAAACTTTAAAATTTTAGACATTAACTTTGATATGCTAAAAAAATATACTGCTTTTTTATTTTGTCATTTTTAGCATTTAGCGGTAACTTATTAGTTTTTGATGTATATATCAAACCGTTTTTTCTATGTAACTTTTCATTAGGTCTTTTTTTTTTTTTGATTACTAAACAGTGTTATATAATTTAGTTTTGCATTGAAGAAACAATTTCTAATGTTATAACAGTCATAAATATTTTTTTTTTTTTGAACTGTCAGAAATTTTTTGATTACTCAATAAACAATAAGTTAATTGTTTCGTCATTTCATTTTTTTTTAAACGTTTTCTGAGTGCATAGCATACAGATTGCTTAAAGAATTTGAATCTTAATATTTAAAGGAA